ATGGGGTGGTCCGGTTGTAGTTCTCCTTCTAGTTCCAATTCAAGTTCCAGTTGCGCTTCCGGTTCTAGTTCCTGTTCCACTTCTAGTTCCAATTCCGGTTCTAGTTCTAGTTCTGGTTCCAGTTACCAATCTCAGGAGAATGTCGAATTTGTTTGTTTGGGGGGGGGAGATGGAGTTCCAGTTCCAGTTCCACTTCCAGTTCTGGGTCCGAGTCTGGAAGTGATTGCCAATGTCAGCTTACAGTTTATTTCTCTTTTCGGGGAGGGGGAGTTCCACTTCCAGTTCGAGTTCCAATTCCAGTTGCACTTCCAGTTCTGAGTCCGAGTGTGGAAGTGATTGCCACTGTCAGTTAAATGATGTTAAATGTCGGTGTGTTGTTGTTGTTGTTGTTGTTGTTGTTGTTTTCGCGGGGGGGGGCGAGTGTTCCAGTTCCAGTTCCACTTCCAGTTCGAAGTTCCTACACTGGGTCCGAGTCTGGTCTGGACGTGATGGCCAATGTCACTTGAATGTCGATTAATTTTTTTTGCCGGGGGGGGTCCCAGTTCCAGTTCGAGTTCCAGTTCCAATTCCAGTTCAAACTCTGGGTCCGAGCCTGCGCGTGATGGACATTGTCCCTTTAGTGTCGATTTTTTTTGCCGGGGGGGGGTTCCAGTTCCAGTTCGAGTTCCAGTTCCAGTTCCAGTTCGAGTTCGGGGGGGGGTTCCAGTTCGAGTTCCAGTTCCAGTTCCAGTTCGAGTTCCGGGGGGGGGGGTTCCAGTTCCAGTTCGAGTTCCAGTTCCAGTGGGGTACACTATGCAAACTGCTATAGATGCATCGACGTGTACAGCACCTCAACGTTGGACGTTGTCTTGAAGTTGAGAAGTATCAATGCAAGGATCTCTCTTCCTTTGATAAGGGTAGATGTCCTCCCCTTTGCGCTGATTCTTGTCCTCAATTTCATAGCCACGTTGTTTCCTTCTTCTTTGGAATCCTGAACAACTTTAGTCAATGCAAGCCCCAATTTTGCATCAATGGAATGGAATCTTGGATCACCTGAATCAATCAGCTTGTCAGGATCAGGGTCGTCAATTGCCTCCTTGACCCAGTCAATCCATGGTTGCCGGTCCGAGTCATTCGCAGCAATGACTATTGCCTGTGTCAGATTGGCTTTCCATAGCCCTAGATCATTAATCTTCGGCCATGGTGGCACATTCACCTTGGATTCCTCTTTTCTGGATACCTTCGTTGCATATGTCAGGGAGGAGGAAGATGCCGATGCAGTCTCCGACAGTCTGTTCCTAAGTTCAGCATTCCCTTCTTCAACCGCTTCCTTTTCCTCGATTCCCTCTTCATAATAATTGTAGGCATCCAGATACCATTCATACGTCTCGTCACGCGCTCTCCTCAACCTTTCTGCTTCATTTTCTTCATGTGTTAGGTTTTCTTTTGGCCGTGACATTTCTGCTTCATTGGATCGAGTGGCATGTAGCCCTCGCTCTTCTCGCTTCTCATCTTTGGGGAATCCATGGTGCATTTCTGCCTTCAATCTGGCGTTTTCTGACCTTGCTTCCGATAGTCTTCCTTCAGTGATCTTCTGGTTCTTCTCGAGTTAGTTGATTTCTTCCAGAATCACCCTTTCTTGTCCATCGACTGCTCCAATCAGGTTTTCCCTCTTCAATACTTTGTTTGCTTCGGTGAGAGCAGCATTCGCTTCCCTCAGCTGACGTTGTTCCTCTTTGGATCGCATGTGTATGTTACTAGCAGCGTCCTCCAACGTCTTCGTAGCCTCTTCCATCACCCTTGCTTCGTATTGAAGATGGTGTGCTCGCAGTTCCTTCTCGTTGATTTCCAGCTTATATGCTTGAATCTCAGTCTTCTGTTCTAAGTCATTATTGCCCATCCCGGCCATCATGTTCATCTCAGACCCTTTGACGAGTGCCAGCTGACCTCGTAGATGTTCCACCATTCTCTTCTCATGGTATTGTTGATCAGTGTTTTCAGCTGCTTCATTGGTCAACACCATGAAGCGCATCTCGGTCCTCCATTGCTTCTCTCTCTCTCTCTCTCTCTTCAACTTGAGCTACCTCCAGCATGTTGCTATTCGCATCCTGTAGCATCAACATCTCGTCTGTAGCTCGTCGGCAACAGTCATCATTGCCTTGTTTTCTTCGGACAGGTGTTGAGCTTGTCTGCTGTAGGTGCCCGAGACTTGGTTTTGCTCTTGGATGAACTCGAACGCACCTTGCATTTCACTGGTCATATCCTCCATCTTGGTCTTCACCTCGTCAAAGTGAGTGTTCTTCATGATTCTCATAAGCGACTTGTTCATACTTCGTGTATAGATGTGATCGGCCATTGACTCAGCGAGCCTGAGTTTCCTCTCAAGTTCTTCAATTCTTATGGTCGCTGATTCATCCTCTTGCATCATTTCTTGTAGGCGCGCATTCATTGCCATATTGCACTTTGTCATTTGCGAAAATTCTTCCCTTGATTCAGCAAAGAGCTTATTATACCCATCATGTAGACAACTGTATTCATCGTTCAAGTGCTGATAGGATACTCTTGGTGAACGTAGCTCTTCGATGAGTCGAACTTCTTTCTCCCCATAATCCTTAGCATCTTCAATTTCGGTCTTCTCGATATCTCTCGACTCTCTTGGGTGATCTTCTCGATGCATTCTTGGTGATGTAGATCTCGTGAATCTCTTCATAGCCCTTCTCTCGTTGCCCATTCTTGCTTCAGTTCTGGCGGAGGTCGTCTCCAGTGGAGCGGCCCCTCCATTGCCTGAAGCTTGTGATGTTGGTGGCATAGTAATCACAGTGGCAGTCTCAATAGAACTCGCGTCATTGATTGAGCCAGGTGATGACTGTGACGCGTTTCCTCCTGGAGCCGCGAAAGAGAATTGCTCACTACCCTTTCCTCCAGAACTCGACATAGTAATATAAGCCTTTGTTGTAGTGTTGGTCTCTCAAAGCTCGTAACCGTGGAGCGGCTACGGCTGATAACCTGCGTGTGGATATTAATCAGCTTGATGTGAGGTCAAGTTGACTACCCTTTTCTCCCACATGTGCTGCAGGGGCGCGCTTCCCTTTTCCTCTGCACAACGGGAGTCTTGAGCCAAATTGGCAATACACGCATGAAGTATGCTGTACATATACTGACTGTGATATCGTTCCACTGCTGTTGACAAATTCTTTTGTTTATGAACAAGGACGCTACTAGGGGCAAAGGGCCACGCTACGGAACAAGGACGCTACTAGGGGCTCCTGGCCTTACTACTAGGAGCAAAGGACGCTACTAGTAACACGAATAGGAATGGCTTTTGGATTTACATCTCTCATGATTTTGCTGTGATTTCCCGTGTCCTGTGAGGTGGACCCTTCTGGCGATCTTGTCGCCAATCCCATGCCCGCCCAGGCTCAGCCTTCACGCATGTGGCATGGCTCGAAGTGCCCACACCTTCAGAACGCCATGCGATGCCATGCCCAACTGGCGGCATTTTGACTCAAAAAACAAACTGGGTCAGATTGGACGAATGAGAATTCTGGTCCAACAAAGTGCCATTGTTGGATTGGAAAGGTCTTCTCAAGACTGTTTTTTCTTCACAAATTGTGCCCACCTGCAGTAGTCCGCGGCTGCGACCTCAGTACACAAGGCTTGGTGGCTGTGTGATGGGCCCCGGAGGGCGTCAGCTACCCCTTCCGACTAAGCGATGCCAGGAGCCCCTAGTAGCGTCCTGGCTCCTAGTAGCGATGCCCTTT